CCTGAGGAGGTGGCTCTGCAGGGAAGTGTCCCTGAGTGAGTTTTTGAGTTTTTCCCTGCAGACAAGGAGCGCTGTGAGGAGCTCAGGAAGGCCCTGAGCACTGCCCATGAGAAATTCTGCTTCTGGCCAGACAGCCCCTGCCCAGGTGGGTGCCTCAGATTCCTGCACTATCCAGCATTTTTCCCATTTTTTTCCCCCCCTTTCCATTGTTATTCCTGTCATCACACTCTCATTTCCCCTCTGGGAATGATGAAATACAATAGGAAAGGAAATAAAATCCCCAGGGCTGTACCCAACTTTTCCTGACCTTTGGGTGCCTCTGGAGCAGTTTTGGGTTGTAACTGGGAGGGGACAGGGGCGGTTGGGAGTCATGGAATGCTCAAAGAGGGATAAATCCTGTCTTGGAAGCTGTGCTGAGCTTTTCCTTTAAAAGCCACAAAAAATAATCATGGAATTGTTGGGGTTGGAAGGGATCTTAAAGCCACCCCTGCCACGGGCAGAGACACCTCAGGGTGCTCCAAACCCCATCCAAGCTGGACTTGGACACTTCCAGGGATCCAGGGACAGCCACAGCTTCTTTGGGAATTCCATCCCACCCCCTCCCCACCTTCCCAGACAGGAATTCCTTCCCAATATCCCACCTAAACTTTTCCTCCTTCACCTTGAAGTCATTCCCTGTTATCCTCTCACTGCATTTATGTGCAGGCCCTGGCTGGGCTGGTGTCCTCCCTTTCCCTGTGGGATAAGGAAGGAGTTGGGAATGCTGAGCACAGCTTTTCCTCTCCCCAGATCGTTTTGCCAGGCTGTTGGTGGATGAGCCCAGAGTTCTTCTCCAGGATTTCCTGGATCGTTTCCAGAGCCTGTGTCAGCTGGAGCTGCAGCTCCCCTCCCTCAGACCAGAAGACCTGAAAAATATGGTGAGTTCCCTCCTGCTCCCAAAATCTGCAGCATTCCAGGCTTCAGGGATGATCCTGGTGCACCCAAAATCAGGAATTTCACCTCTGTGTGTGTAAAGGATCTGCTCCCACCTTGTTTTTTCCCTTGGGCATTCCCCATGTGGTGATTCCACCATGGAAATATGTAAAGAGGACATTGGAATGGCTCATCAGCTGGGAAATGTGGCTGGTTCCCACCCTGGAGCTTTCCCAGTGTCCAGGCTGCTCTGTGGTGTCTGGGAGAGGGGATTTGGGATCCCACAGACTCCTTTGGGAGCTCTCCCTGGCAGCTCCATGGATCCTGGCAGCTCCATGGATCACTCCTTTAGCTGGGATTCCACACATACAGAGCCAGGAATTTGGGATACCAGGAGCTGCCCTGGAGCTGAGGTGTGAGCAGAGACCTGGGAAGGTGAAGGAACCTGAGGAGGCTCCACAGGCAGGAGGGAAAAGCAGGAAAAGCCAGGAAAAAGAGTGGAATTGCCACTCTGTAGGAACTGCCCTGGCCTTGCTGTGCTGCAGCCAAGTCTGGCTCGTTGGACACTCCTTGGCCAGGGAACAGATGGCTCTGGGCAGGCAGGAGCAGTGTGGGATCCAGGGAATCTTCATCCATTCAGCACAGGGCTCTTCTAGGGCTGGCTGAGCTGGGAAAGCACCAGAGACTCCCAAAACCACGGCAGCAATGGGATCTGCTCCACTGCTCCAGTGGCACATTTCATGGAATGGGGAGCCAGAGGGAAGGAGAATTGCTCTGAGAGAATTTTCCCTTTTAACCAGACCTTGGAGTGCTGGATGCTGCAATCCCAGCGGGTGCAAAATGGATTTTTTTTTTTTTTTTTTCCTCCATGATTCGGGTGTTAAAATCAATTCATTTTATCCCCGTTCTCCACAGTCCCTGACAGAGGAAAGGATCACTCAGCTCCTCCAGCTCATCGAGGAGGAGCTGGAGCACAAAGGAACAGAGGGAGAGAAGGCTCCTGGGAAGTTTTCCACAGAAATCCTGCAGGTGCACGTTCCTGCCTGCATCCTGGCACTGTGTGGCTGGACCTGCAGGTGGGCAGGGCTGGGCCTGGAATGTCCCCCACGCTCTGGGCTTGCCATGGAAGCTCTGGGAAGCTGGAGGGATGTGGAATATGTTCAGTGTCTCTTTTATTTTTATTATTTTTTTTGCTATTTTTGGTGTTTTCCCTTTTTTTCCAAGTTGTTCCCTCTTCCTTTATTTTACTGTTTTCTTATTTGTCCTCTTTTTCATCATGCTTCTGCCTACCTGATTTTATTTTCCCTTTTTTACTATTCTCCTGCTTCCTTTGTGTCACTATTTTCCTGTTTTCCCTCTTTTTCACTAGGATCCTGCTTCCCTTATTTAACTGTTTTCACATTATTCCACTACATTCCTGCATCCCTTATTTCCCCTCTTTTTTCCCCCTCTTTTTTCCCCTCTGTTTTCCCTCTTTTTCCCCTTTTTTCCCTCTTTTTCCCTCTTTTTCCCTCTTTTTCCCTCTTTTTCCCTCTTTTTCCCTCTTTTTCCCTCTTTTTCCCTCTTTTTCCCTCTTTTTCCCTCTTTTTCCCTCTTTTTCCCCCTCTTTCCCTCCTTTTCCCCCTCTTTTCCCCTCTTCTCCCTCTTGGCAAAACAAAATGCAACTAAGCCACTTTAAACCAACATCATAGATGTGCTTTAATGGAATTTTTTCCCCCCCTGACTTTTCCAAGCTCAGGTTTATCCCTGCCCACCTCTCCTGACTTTCCCCATCCCTTCGAGTGTCCAAGGCCAAAGGTTGGACGGGGCTTGGAGCAACTTTTTTCCTAAAATGCAACTTTTTTCCTAAAATGCAACTTTTTTCCTAAAATGCAACTTTTTTTCCTAAAATCTTTTCTCTGGGATGGTGGGAGGTGTCTCTGCCTGTGTGGGGTCGGGATGAGATGATCTTTAAGATCCTTCCCAACCCATGCTGTGATTCCATGAGGATCCCATGAGGATGCCAAGCCTTGGCTCTGTCCCCACAGTGCTTCCTCTGGCTCCATGAACCTCTCAGTGATCACCTGCTCCCGTTGCATGAGGAAAGTGGGGCTCTGGGGTTTCCAGCAGCTGGAATCTGCTGCAGCTCCAGAGCTGGATTCCTGTGGCTCCAGCAGCACCACCCCAGCTGCTCCTGAACGTTTCCCAGCCATCCCCACGTCCCCACGCAGGATGCTGACACGGAGCCAGGACCCAGGAGCTGAGCAGGTACACCCTGGGATGTCTGGCTGCTGCAGGGACACTTGGATTGGGTTTTTTTTCCTTTTTTTTCTTTTTTTTTTCTTCTGCCAGAGTCGGGGTTGAAAGCTCAAGAGATGATATTTTTGTGTTTGGACTCAGATTTTTATTAATTTTTATCTATGTTACAGTGAGTGCTACAGCACTTGGAGCTAAAAGTGAAGAAATGGTGATGTGTCTCTCTCATTACAAGGTCATTTAAAGCCTAACTGTCTAATTAAGAACTAACACCTAAATTATTTTTACTTTTGACCCAATGACCAAACACCCATGACCCTCAGTGCAGCATTTTTTATCCAATTAAACAAGATCCCACCGGTGAAGAAGAAGGTGAAGAAAAAAGAAACCTCCACCCTAAAACCTCCATTTTGCTTTTTATATATTGCTATATTCTAAAACCCTGAATTTTGAATTTTTCACCATGTGATATCACACACTTCTATTCAAACTACACAGCAGTAATTTTAGTTCTGTCATTCAATTTTGGAATTTCTCCAAGGCCTCAGGTTAAAAGCAGTGTTTTCTTGTGGGTGTGTGCACAAAAAGTCTAAAATTCTCAATATCCAGGGTTCCAACACACTTGGCCAACTCCAGGTGCTCCAAATCCCATCCATCCACACCCAGTGGACACATCCTTGTGGGAAGAGCTCCCGTGGGATGGCCAGGGAGGATTGGAGCTGGACAAAGCTCCCTTGGTGATCAGAGGAGCTCCATTAATTAATCCTGTGTGCTCACTGCCCTGCAAAGAGAGAGAGAAAGGACAGCAGCACACACTGAGATCTTTGGGGAAAAAAGGCCAATTTATTGTACAGACAGCCCGGATTTAAAGTGTGTCAGTGCAGCCAGGACAGGACAGGAGCTCATTGGACAATTGGGAAAAACATCCCTGGGACAGCACCTCAGGATGTGTCCCACGGGAAAGACACCAGGGGTTAATGTTGGTGATGAATTCCACTCTGTTTGTCACCATGTTGTCACCCTGGGAGACTCCTCCCTAACTGAAGCTGCAGTCAGCTTGTCAGCCTGGGAATGGAGCTGAGAGTCAGGAGAAATCCAGGCCTGGAAAAGAATTCCCAAGCTGGAATTCCCTAACTCTCTAAACGTGTGTGTCCACACTCCTTGATTTCCCCCCTGTCAGCAGCACGACAAGAGCCCATCCCCAGCCGTGTGCCGCCCTCGGGGCTGGGATTCTCCGGGCTCGGTGGACAGGAGCGAGTTGGAGGTGAGCAGCCCTGCAGTGAGGAGCCGCCCCGTGACCAGGAGCATGGGACAAGGGGACAACATGGAGGTGCCATCGAGCCCCGTGCGCAGGGCCAAGCGCGCCCGGCTCTGCTCCTCCAGCGGCTCGGTGAGCGATCCAGGCAGGCTGCTCCTCACCCTGGCCTCTGCTGCCACCCTGTAGCCGGCTCAGAGCTGGCATTTGGTCACTAAAATCATCTCGTTGTCGTGTCCTTTCTCCTCTGTCACCTGCTCGCTTTTGCCAGGACGCTTCCTCGAGGAGCTTCTTTCACCCCAGCTCTCAGCACCGAGATTGGTGTCCCTGGGTCAGCACTGGGGAGGGAGAGGAATCCCTGGAAGATGCATCCCAGCCAGAGAAGGAGCCCGGGAAGGCCAAGCCAGGCTGGGAAGTGGTGCTGAAGAGGCTCCTTGGCATCCAAAAATGTGACACAGTGCCCGAAACGGAGCCAGTGGTGAGCCTGGGGTACCCAAACCGGAATGCTGCTTGTGCAGGCAGCAGGAATTCGGCACGGGTGGGCTTTGCTTGGGATGAACACCAAGGACCAAGCTGCAGATCCTGAGCTCTGGCATTCCCACAGCCAGGCTCCATCCAAGGGCAGGCTGTGCTGGAGCAGCTATAAATAACATCCCCGAGCTCCTGAGTGCTGCCCAAGATCCCGTTTCATTCCGTGTCCCCAGAGCTCCTCTCTGCAGCCATCCCAACTCCTGGCTCCAGGCTCTTGGACTGCCGGGTTTGCTGAGCCAGGGCAGCAGAGCTGAGGCCACAACTCCCTCCCCGTGTAGCTGTGGAGCAGCTGCTGCCTCCCTGGATCTCATGATCCACTGGGATTTCCTCCTGCCAGCTCCTTCCTGCTCGGAGCTCAGGGGAGCAGTGGAGCATTCAGGATTTCTCCTGGGGGGTTTTGTGTGATTTGTGTCCCCAACAGGTCCCTTCTAGTGGAAGGTGTCCCACAGCAGAGAGTTGGAACTGGGAGACCTTTAAGGTCCTTTCCAACCCAAACCATTCCATGATTCTCTGATTCTGCCATGTGCCAGGAAAGCTCCAGATGGTCCAGCAGGACCAGTCACAAACCAGAGGCACCAGACCCAGCTGGAGCAGGGGATGCTTGGAGTCCCTTCCTGCTCTTTGGGATCCCTTCCTGCTCTTTGGGATCCCTTCCTGCTTTTTGGGGTCCTCTCCTGCTTTTTGGGATCCCTTCCTGCTTTTTGGGGTCCTCTCCTGCTTTTTGGAGTCCCTTCTTGCTTTTTGGGGTCCTCTCCTGCTTTTTGGAGTCCCTTCTTGCTTTTTGGGGTCCTTTCCTGCTTCTTGCTTGTAGTCTCCTTGTTCTTTCCTCCATCTAGCAAACTGGGATCATAAAAATAAGGAACAAACTGCTGTCCTGGAAGCCTGTTGGGATACTTTGGATATTTTTTTGCTGCAGTTTCTCCTCGTGCCCTTTACCAGTGGCAGTTGCAGGTCCTGTTCCAGTGCCTTGACCTCTGGCTGTTGCTTTGTTCCCATCTCTTCCAGAGCCTCTCGGAGAAATCCTGCAAGGTGTTCCGCATTTTCAGGCAGTGGGAGAGCATGAATTCGTCCTGAGCACGGGCCATCTTGAGAGATCCAAACCTCTCCGTGGTTCCTGCAGCAGTTCTGTGCCCCAGGAAGGGGATCCAAGGAAACTCTGCTCAAACAGAGCCCCCGGCACGCTGGGATCCCCCTTCCCTGACTGCCTTGCTGAACCCCTGCCTTCACAAACTGCTGCTGTGTCCCTGAGCTCTGACAGCCCTGCCTGGAGCTGGCATGTGCTGTGGACACGTGGGGTGACAAGGGGACACTGTCACCCCCCGTGCTGTCCGGCCGTGTCCCAGTGCCAGCATGGAAGGGACGCCAGGTGGGAATAAACATTTCAGTTTTGTTGTTTTTCTTTTTCCTTCCTGCTGGCTTGGTGCTTTTTCCCAGGGCAGGAGGAGGTGTAGCTCCTGTATCCCTTGGGATGCTCAGTTCTTATGGGATCAACATCCAGCTGCCTCCCTGTTTCCCACTCCATATTTTATTGTCTCCTGTTTTTGGGCATTTTTCCATTGCCTCAATCCCTGGCCTTGTGTCCCTCTGCTGATGGCCAGTTTGGGGTGATAAATCCCTTGGGTTGGAGGGTGGGATGCAGCCAAAACCTGGGAGGAGATGAGTTTCCATGGCTTGGGCTGCTGGGAAGGGGATGGTGTCATCTCCATCCTTGAGGATATTGGGGAAGGGGCTTTGGGAAGGGCTGAGATTCCACACAGTTGGATCTCTTCACTCCAGGGCTGTGAATGTGGGTGGGGACACAGGGATATGTCATTGTCATTCCCTTTTATTTTTTTTTTTAAATTTTTTTTTTCTATTTCCCCAGCCCCAGCTCATCCCTTTGGATGGATTTTGGGATTCTGGCTGCCCTGTGCCTGGGAATGCCTTGGCCAGGCCCAAAACTTAGGGGCTTCTCCTGGGTTTTGGGTACTGCCCTCTTGGGCAGGAATGCCACAGGAAGCAGCAGGGCCTGAATTTGGGTGGATTCCCTTCCTTTCCTAAGGGGGTTCTAATTAGGGGGCCCTAATGAGGGGCTGCTTCACCCCATGGCCCTGCTGGGCTGGGAGTTGGGGTGGAGATGGGGATACCCCCAATCCAGAGGGGCAAGGGTGGGCTGGGAAGTGGCTGGGATGAGCATGGAGGAGCCCCTTTTCCAGATCCCCCGTCCCCAAGAGTCCCCCATGGTTTCCCCATTCCTTACAGCTCTGGCTTGCCCATTTCCAGCATTTTCCAGCAGTTCCCTATGGCTCCCTCTATTCCCTGCATTCCCCATCCATGGATTCTCCTGGCTCCCCTCCAATCTGTGTTTTGCTCTGTGATCAGGCAAGCACCCCACAAATCATGAGATGCATCCAGGGAGGGTGATATCCCCGAAATATATGTGGGAAAATAAATGTGGGAAAGCCACAACTCCTCCATCCCAATTTCCAGACTGAGGAGTGCTCAGAGGATCCCCAAAATTCCCTCAGCACCCACATTCCGAGGTTTGGGTGCTGTAAGAGTGGCCTTAAGGTATCCCAAAAAGGAACAGGGTGCTGTTGTATTCCCTGATATCCTGGAATAATCCCTGTTGCAAAGAGATGGAATAGGAGCATTCCAAGTAATTTTGGTAAAATCCTTATTTTCCCTGTCCAGTTCTCCCAGTTGCTTGGAACCAGTCAGGGAATATTGTAGCCTGGGAAATACAGGATCCTCTATCCCAAATTTTCCATCTGTTCTGCTCAGATATAACCCAGTTCCCCTGCCAAATTCCCCCCTGGAATGTGGGGTGTGGATTTGAGTCCCCTCAGGTGCTGTCACCTCCTGCCCCCTGCCAGACTCGGGGCATGTTGGGACATTAAATGGAGGAACTTTTTGGGATTCTTTGGCTGTGTCTCCTCCGCACAGGGGGAGGAAGCACCGGGGCAGATTTCTGGGATGATGCTGGGGGTCAGGAATGTGGGGTGTGGAGGTTGCACACCTGAATCCCATGGGTTTGGGAGACACCCACTGGTGCTGTCATCATCCGGGTGGGTAAACTGAGGCACCGGGAAATGCTTTGCCGGTGTCACACCGGAAATCCTGGGTGGGGACTCCTGCTGTGGGGTCTGGCCGGCTGCCACATTCCCGCTTGGATTCAATGGGATTGCCACGGGCAAAATCCATATTCTGTGGGGTGGTTCCCTCATCCTGGTGGGGATGGGAAATAGGGGAATAAGGGGATGGCAGAATCCATGAGGAAAAAGGGAGATACTGGGAATAGGGGGAGCCGTGGGGACTTGTGGAAAATCAGTGGAAATGGAGGAGCCACGGGGAATTGCCCTGACATAAAATATCCTGTATTTTATGACGTGGTTCCCTGGCCATGGTGGGAATGGGCAAAATAGAAAGGGGGAAATAAGAGGAGCGTCAGAATCCATGGAGACACAAGGAATACATGGAGCCGTGTGGAATTGCAGCAAACATTGGAAAAGGAGGAACGGGAGTTTTCGCCCCCATGGGGCCTCGAACCCGCGGCCCAGCCATCATTCCCCTTCCGCCTCCCCCCTCAGAACTACAACTCCCGGCGTGCCTCGGGGCCAGCGGAGCGTTGAGGGCGCGGCCAATGGTAGCGCCGCGGGGCGGTGACGTCACCGCGGGTGACGTCAGGGGTCCAGAGAGAGGCTGGGGCAGAGGCGGCCGGAGCGGCTGAGGGAGCGCGAGCGGCGCGGGGGGGGCCCTGTCGGCGACAGCGGCGGCGACAGCGGCGGCGACAGCAGCGGCGACAGCGACAGCGGCGGTTCCCAGCGCCTCGCGGCCCGGCGTTTCCCCGCTCCCTTCAGCGCCGGGCGGCCCCGGCCCGCGGCGGCGGCGGCGCTGACAGCCCGCCCGGAGCCCCGGGGGCGGCCGCGGCCACCATGTCGTCCCCCAGCCCGGGCAAGAGGCGGATGGACACCGACGTGGTCAAGCTGTATCCTTGGCGTGCCCCTTCCCCGGGCCCACGGGGGACGAGGATCCATCCCCCCCCGCCACGGTCGGGCCTGCAGAGGGGTGGGAGGGCGGGGGGCACCGGGGACCCCCGCCGGGGTCACCCCCAGGACCTCCCCTCATTCGCAGCCCCTCGGCCTCTCCCCGGAGCTGGGGGTGGGATGTGCCCCCCCTGCCCACCAGGAGAGGCCTAACCCCCCTCTTCTGCCGTATTTTGGGGGTTTATCCCCCTCTGTGGCTCGCCAGGCGGCCCTGGGGGTGTCTCTGCAGACCCCCCTTGGTGATGCCCCCCCAGTCTGGGTGCCCCGCGCCCCCCCTTGCCCGCCCTGGGGAGGGCCAGGAAGGGGAGAGCAGTTCCAGCAGCCACAGCCCAAAGAAAGGCTTTTGTGGGGTTTATTATTATTATTTATTCCCCCCTTTCACCCCGCGGTTCACGAAGCTTCTGGTGCCGGCTTAGGGATTTAATTTTTTGGGGAGGACGGGGGGGGGTCCCTCGGGGTCTGGCTCAACAGACCCGGGGGTGGGTGAAGGGCATCAGGGCCCAAGCCCGTCTCCCAAGTGGTTTATGTAACCCTCCAGGTTTGGTTAGGCTTTATTACTTTTTATTTTTCTCCTTCTTCCTCCATAGATCTGTTTATATTTTTCCTCCTTGTTTTTATTCCTGGCCCTTTACGGGGCGGTGAATCCCTTTTTTCTCTCTGTCTGGAGAGTGGGTGGCGTTGAAAAATACCATTGGGAATTCGGTTCTGGGATTGTTTTATTAATAGTTTTTGTTTACAAGGTGGCGGTGTGAGCCGGGAAAGGGTAGGAATGACAAGAGTGGATGAAATGTTTCTCGGTTCTGTCGCCTGAACGTGCCCGACCTCCCTCAGCAGGACTTGGGGCTGGTGCCTCTGCCCTGGTGGTGTGCAGGGGTCGAGAAACGGGTCTGATTTAGTTCCCAGAGAGAGATAAACAAACTTATCTGGATTTGGTGGTGTTTTTTTGGAAGTGGGGGGAGGGAGGGAGGAGCAGCAGCAGCGCTCCTGTTTGTGGCTTATCGAAGGAAACTTGTCTGACGTTCGCCCAGCGCCTTTCTCCCCACAAAGCTGCTCTCGGTGTATTTTTCGCCCTGTTTTTAAGCAAATAGGAAATGAGTCCTGATGGTGCTCGAATCGGAGCTATTTTTATCCGGGGGTTTAAAGTTACACACATGTCAGACTCCGCCAATTGCGATCGATGTTTAATCGCACCGGGAGGAGGGTCGGGAATTCCAGCTGTTTACTGAGGGGGGAAAAACCTTTCTTAGGGATCCCCTGCAAAAGAGTTCTGGGCCAGAGAGGGGCCGAGGCCCAACCTGATCGGCTGCTGCTCTGTTTCCCTTTCCCCTCCCCCTCTCTTTTTTTTTTTAATTTTTTTTTCTCTCCCCTTTTTTTGTTCGGTTCCTTGCCGGCTTGTCCAGCGATCGCAGCATTTTGGAGGACAAAGAGCAGGTTTTCCCTGCGAAGTGGCTTTGCTGTGTGTTTCTAGGAGGTGGGTAGGTAGAAAATCCCCGAATATCTGGGATTCCTCTCGGTGCCGGCGAGTTTCTGCTCTGTTCTTTCTGACAAAAGGAACCCCGATGGCTTTTCCAAAAGCAGAGCTCTTGTTGTGGGCTCTGCTTTTCCTTGTTTTCCAAGGGGTGAGGGTTAGAGCAGTCGGTCTCCTGCGGACAACAAACTTAGGAAGTTGGATGTGTCAGATGACTCCTCAGCACTCCTCCCTCCCTCGCTCCCTCCCTCCCTTCCTCCCTCCCCAGCCTTTTTTTGTTTGTCTGCCTGACTCGCCCGGGGTGAGCAGCTCGCTAGGCCCCGGCTCCCGAGACGCTTCCCTGGGGAATCTTCCCCCTCTGGATGTGAAATCGGCGTCTCCTCTGAGACGTGGCAGCCAGCAGGGTCTGGTGGTGGCCGGAGGAGAAGGGACTCTGAAGGAATGTGCTTCAAGGCAGCTCCTCCTGGGCTTCTCAGGGGTTTTGTTGCCGTGTAGGTTGTTTTGTTTTTTTTTTTTTGCCCCCCTTTTTGCTGCCATTTTCATTACGGTTTTCCTTTTCATCCCCTTTCCACGTCTCCAACAGAGAATAATAGTATGGATTTATGGCCTGCCAAGGGCTACCTTTCCCAGTAGGGAGGGGGGCACCGAGCAGGGTGAATAACACTCCTGCCTTCTCCTGCTCTGACAGGTTTAGGAGCCGAGCGAGCTCTTTTTATGATTCCTATTTTCAATCCTAACACGTCCTTGTCCTTTTGTGGATGCCTCTTTGTGAGGAGGGAAGGGGAGAGGTGCCTGCTCTCCGTGGGGCTGCAGGAAGGGCAGAGCTCTGTGTGGAACTGATGTTTAATAATCTCCTGGATGAGGATGTGCACTCATTGTCTGCCTCCAGAGCGGGCTGGGGAAAAAAAAAGAGAGCCATAATTATAATCATTAATCATAAATCCCCATTTTGGGGGGCTCCAGCCGAAGTTTCCTGGGTAACCCGTGACCGTTCAGAGCAAGGCTTTTTGCAGGAAGGCTCTGTGCTCCCCAAAACTCCTCCAGGCCTGGACTCACAGGCTCATCCCACTGGGAAACCCCCAGGCTCCACCAGTCCTGGCCTCTCCATCTACCTCCCCTCCCTGGGAACAGCAGGACGGGGGCTCCCCTTTGTGGTTCCCCCCCGGTTTTGGGGCGAGTGCCAAGCCGGGAGCCGTGTTAGCAGGGGAAAGGCCTGGAGCTCTCCCAGCCGCACGGATTGGCTGCTCTGTTACTACCCGGAAACCGGGCCCGGGGCGGAGCGAGGCTGCGGCTCCCGGGGTGCCCCTGCCCGGGTGTTCACAGCCCCGAGGGACCCACCCCAGCACCCCCATCCTCCCC